GGGCCCGGGATTGGCTTTTTCCCCCGAGCCTACGCTGCCCACCGCGCGACGGGAGGTTGATTTGGGGTTGGGAAGGGGACAGCAGGGTGCAGGAGACCTCACAGATGACCTAGTCTTCTCGGCCCTTCCGACCTAAGCTGCTTTAGGGCCAGGCCCGAGGTGACTGAGCCTGCCCGAGGCCACACTCTCCACCCAAACCAAAGCTGAAGCAAGAGAAGGTCGTACTGGCGGAGGTCGGTGACCAGACCCTGTCCCTGGAAATGGAAGCTGCTATGGGAACTCGACAAACAGTCAGAACTGAGCATCCTGTAGAACTGGTTTGGGGAAGGGGTTGTTCACCTGGACTAGAGAGCCCCGGCTAAGTCAGCTTCAACACGCTCTGTCCTCCTATTCCGAGTTAAGCCTGAATCTGACCTCTCTTACCGGCTCTTCCAAATCAGTTCTGGTGGATGTGCAGGCTGGACTCTGGTGTATCTACAATCTAATATAATAACGGTGTCCTGGCCACCCTCTCTGTGGCTGCGTGCGTCTTGGGTCTGCAGCATTCAGCTGATGTGCAGCCTTTTGAGGAGGTCTGTGACCATCTGGTAGATGTACATAAGGGGTCAGAGAAGTTAATGTCGTTTTCAAGGTCACACAGCTGTGTGGGAAAAAAGCAAGAATTGGATCTGAATCTTTGCCCCTGCACCATCCACCATCCTAGTATTGACAGTGGGGATGCGTAGGGGGAAAAAAACAGTAACACAGCTACACAACACTACAGCCGGACAAGGGTCTGTCAGGGCTCCCTCGTCTACCTTCTACCCGGTCCTGGGTCCTGTGGGCAGCAGAGCGGGATGAGCAGTACCGGGGCCTGGGTTTGGGTGGGAGGGAGGGAAGCACACCGAGCATTGGACTAGGCTAAGCCTAGGTGGAAAAGCAGGCGAGGAAAGCGAGGGTGAGTCAGAGCGTTCCCAATCCACCACCGCTGGGACTCGAGTCCTAGCCAGACCCAGCTGGGGGAGGCCGTCCAGCTCCCAGAACGCACGGCGGGACAGGGAATGTGACCAGCTGACCAGGGAGGAGGCTGGCAGGAAGTGAGGCCAACAAGCAGTCTCCACCCGGTTCCGGGGTGGGGTGGGGGTCCTAGGCCACAGCAGGTCCCCCTCCCCTCTTCATTGCTAGTTCTGGTTGGCGGCTGCTAGATGACGTCAGCAGCTGGGTTTGGGGCAGTTGCCATGGAGACAGGGACAGGCTTCTGCTCTCGACCCCCTTCTCCCTCACAGCCACCCTTTTGCCTGGGTTATTTATAGCTAATGTTTACCTCAGTCTACTGTGTAGCCCTACAGCTGAGCCGGGCTGGACCCAGAGACTCTTGGAGAGGCTATGGCTAACATGACCGACCACTGCACTAGATGGATAATAGTGTTAGTCGTACTTTCCGTCCCACGCAGGTCTTGGCACACATGAGCTACTGGGGAGTCTGTGAGAACTGGGTTCCTGCAGGCAGTTAAGATTCCATTCACTGTTGAGCTGCACACCTCATAACCTTTAGAACCTGGATTCTTTTCCATGTCCAGAACACTCTGCAGAGTTGACAGGAACTAAGGCTTCTGTCTCTTAGCAGCCAGCACCCTCCAGTTGAGAGAGATCCTCTCCATTAGCTGGGGATGGGAGTCGGGTGTCAGCCCTTTCCATCCACCCCAACAGGAGAGAGATTGCCTCCTCCAGAAATGGTCAATTATACATTCCTCATGGCCATCTAACAGTAAGGTGAGGTATGCGTTGGTGTTTCAAACCGTTCCTGAGTATAGGGTTATAGTGGCAGCCAGCTGCTACCAGGGAAAGAAAATGGATGGAACAACCAGTATACTCTGAATCCAAAATCCTAGGACACCACCACCCTGTCCCAGGGAGCAGCTGCTGATCACACATGTGGTATGTGATGTAACAAGTAGGAAGGGAAAAGAAGAGTCTTAGGTTGGGTAGGGGAGTCAGGGTAGACCCAGCCTTGTGTCCTATGCTCTACCCTTCTAGCAGGTCAAGATCCTGTTCCAAAGACTGGCGGCTCCACTCTCACTCTCTGCTCCCTACTTCCTTCATCTCCCGGATGCTCAGGTGCTGGTGGAGGGCCCAGGAAATTACAGTAGTGGGCAATCATGTAGGCTCCAGGACCCAGAGGGTATAGACTGGTGGGAGGATAGGCCCTGGAGAACTACAATTTAGCTATGTGGCCTTGAGGATCAGAGAGAGGAAGCTATAGAGGTTCCAGAAAGGGGGAACCAACTCAGAGCAGGCTTCCTGGAAGAAGAAGTTATGGAGACAGAAGAAAAAGGAAAGGGGGTTAGTTAGTAGTGAAAAGTTAGTTAGTAGTGAAAAGAGGGGGCTGGGAATGTACCTCAACAGTAGAGTGCTTGCCTAAGATCCTAAGCTTTAACCTAGCAACACACACACACACACACACACACACACACACACACACACAGTGGAAAAGAGGTATGGGAGGATGGAGTTTGCTGTCCAGATGCTAAGGACCTTGAGTGTGGTAGGAGGGGTCACAATTGCTAGAGAGGAGGACCGGCATGGGAAAGAAGCATAGGCTTTATTTTTAGGGGCAGGAGGTAGCTGTGAATTTTTCCTAATAGTCTGAATAGAGAGAATTTAAAGGTTTAGAGTCTTAGATCAGAAAGCCTAGGCTTGAATCTGGGCCCTGCCACTTACTAGCTGTGTAATCTCAGGTAAATTAATGATCATTAAAATATTTGTGTACTACATGTACTTCTCCCTCCCCTAAACACTCTCTGTAGATGGAGATATCTTTCTTCATGCTTCCAGCAGTAGTTATGGTTATTATTCTCATGAGTATCTGAAGTCCAAAAGCTTAAGAAGCGTTTTGGCCCTGTGAGGTTTTTTGTTTGTTTTGTTTTTGTTTTTGTTTTTGTTTTTTTTCGAGACAGGGTTTCTCTGTGTAGCTTTGGAGCCTATCCTGGCACTCACTCTGGAGACCAGGCTGGCCTCCAACTCACAGAGATCCATCCGCCTGCCTCTGCCTCCCAAGTGCTGGGATTAAAGGCTTGCGCCCAGCGGCCTTGTGAGTTTGAGACCAGCCTGGTCTACAGAGCACATTCCAGGACAGCCAGAGCTACACTGAAAAACCCTGTCTCAAGAAACAGAAAATGTCTCACCCAAGGTCACATACAGCCAATTGACCTCAGCTGTGAAACAGGGCTAATAAGACTTACCTACATAGGTAAATACTCAAAAAGGGACAGGGTTGTTTTTCTTTGTTTTGTTTTTGTTTTGGGCATTGTTGGTGACTGGAATTTTCAAAAGACTTGTTAGTGAATAAAGAATATTTGATTGAAGGAGAAAAGGAAGACAGGGAGCCTTAGGATCCTAAGATAGAGTTGGTAATAGCTTGGGCCTGATGTGAGGGTACAGATTCTAGAGATACACTCTATATGTGTGAATGTATGTAGGTATGTATACTGGGCATTAAACTAGGACCTTAAGCAAGTTGATGAAGCACTTTGCCTCTGAGCTATACCCCTTGTAGTTCAGGTAGGCTTGAATTTTTGACCCTTCTGCCTCAGCCTCCCAGGTAGATGGGATTATAAGCTTGTAACACCAGGACTGGATCCAGAGACATCTAAAAGCTTGATCAGCCAAGAGTGGGTGACTGAGTGGAGGTGGTATAACTCATAGCAGGACCAAGGATGACTCCCAGTTTCTGTTTTGAACAAGGGTGCAAATAGATAGTAAGACTGTTATGGGATGGTTAAAACTTGGAGAAGTGGCCAGGTCAGTCCAACAACCTCAAACCCAGTTCATCATCTCCCCTTGCAGGCCTGACACATTGTCAGTTAGTTTTTTGGGAGACATCTGGGAGGCAGTTGGATAGGCAGGCCTGATGCTTACAAAAGTGGTTTGGTTGTACAGATAAGGATGCAGAAAAGTACAAAGCCCAAGGGCTGAAGTCCATTTGGGGATAAAGAGAGAAACAGGTCCTCTGTGGGGAAATGTGTGGTGAGAAGTAGATAGAAAAACAGAAGTATGTTGCTTCTGTTTTTTTTTTTTTTTAAGATTTATTTTTTTATTATGTATACAACATTCTGCCTCCATATATGCCTGCACTCCAGAAGAGGGCACCATATCTCATTACAGATGGTGGTGAGCCACCATGTGGTTCCTGGGAATTGAACTCAGGACCTCTGGAAGAACAGCTAGTGCTCTTAACCTCTGAGCCATCTCTCCAGCCCTGCTTCTGTTTTATTTCTTTATTTCTTTATTTCTTTATTTTTTATTTTGTGCACATTGGTGGTTTGCCTATATACGTCTGTGTGAGGGTGTTGGATCCTGGAGTTACAGACAGTTGTGACCCATGTGGGTGCTGGGAATTGAACCCAGGCCCTCTGGAAGAACAGTCAGTGCTCTTAACTGCTGAGCCATCTCTTCAGCCCCATTGCTTCTTGAAATTCATGGGAAGGAAGGGCTTAATGAAGAGGAAGGGAACCACGAAGTCCAATACTTTATTGAGATCAGGCAGGAGAAGGACTAGACATTAGATACTGGGTTGATTCAGCAACAGAGAGGTCATTGTTGACCTTGTTAAGAACGGGGTGGGTGCAAAAAGCCAGCCAGCATGGGAAGAGGAGTAGGTGGGTGTGGCAAGGATGTGGAAGTAGACCATTATTCCAGAAACTTGACTCAGAAGGAGCAGAGCAATGGGGTAACTAAAGCAAGACACATTGGGATGTAATTATTTATTTATTTAGTGTGTGTGTGTGTGTGTGTGTGTGTGTGTGTGTGTGCCCGAGTCAGGGCTTCTCTGTGTAACCGTCCTGGCTGTCCTGGCATCTGCTTTGTAGACCAGGCTAGCCTTTAACTCACAGAGATCTGTCTGCCTCTGCCTCCCAGGTGCTGGGATTAAAGGGGGTGTACCACCGCTTTTCTATAGTTTTCTATAGTTATTCATTCACTGTGTGCATGTGTGTGTGCATGTATGTATGTGTGTATATGTGCTTTTCTGGTGATTGAATCCAAAGCTTTAATATATATATATATATAATGATATATATATATATATATTATATATATATATATATCATTGAGCTACATTGTAGATTCCCTGTAATTGCTTAAATCCAACTATATAGTGAAATCTAATGTATGCAGAAAGTATTTAGAAACAGTGGCATATACCTAAGGTCCAAGCTTCTCAAGAGGCTAAAGCAACAAGATGCTTGAGCCTAATAGGGTTTTGTTTTGTTTTTTGAGACAGGGTTTCTCTGTGTAGCTTTGGAGCCTGGTATGGAACTCACTCTGTAGACCAGGCTGGCCTCGAACTCACAGAGATCCACCTGCCTCTGCCTCCCAAGTGCTGGGATTAAAGGCATGCCCCACCACCAACCTTCAAGCCTAAGAGTTTTGAGGATAGGGACTGTAGAGATGGCTCAGAGGTTAAGAGCACTGACTGCTGTTCCAGAGGTCCTGAGTTCAATTCCCAGCAACCACATGGTGGTTCACAACCATCTGTGATGAGATCTAGTGCCCCCTTCTTGCATGCAAGCATACATGCAGACAGAACACTGTATACATAATAAAATTTCAAAAGAGTTTTGAGGCTAGCTTGGAGAATATAGCTAAGATCCCATCACTACACACACACACCTGTCCTAAATGTACATCCTGATACATTTTGTAATAGAACACACCTATGTATGATCAGGAAATAGATCCCACAGCAGGAAATAGAACATTGCTAACACTCCTTTTGCCTATTTCCAGTTACAGCCTAAGGATAACTACTGAATTAGAGTTTCATTATTGTAGTAAAACACCATGACCAAAAGCAACTTGGGGAGGAAATGGTTTATTTCATTTTATACTTCATCACTGAGGGGAGTCAGGGCAGGAACTCAAGCAGGGCAGGAACCTGGAGGCAGGAACTGAAACATAAGCCATAGAAGATTGCTGCTTACTGGCTTGCTGCCCATGGCTCACTCAAGTTTACTTTCTTATATACCCCAGAACCACTTACTCAAGGGCAGTACCACCCCCAGTTGGGTTGGGCTCTCCCAC